AAACCCAGCCGGTCCCGGGGGATATCCACCATCCAGGTGTCAAGATTTGGGAGGAAATACGGAAGAAAAGGGAATATTTAGATTTTTTGAGCCTGTTTGTGCAGGGCTTTTTTGGCAAAGTGAGCTGAGAAAGTGGCTCGGCACGACACTGGGAGGAGAAGCAAGATCAAGGAAGAAGCTGGGCTGCTTCTCCAGGGAGAGATAAAGCAGATAACATGAGTCGACTGACACATTGGATGTCTCTTCCAAGGAAAAAGGAACTTCGGGCAAATGAGGAAGCATGACCAACACTAAGGATAGCTGTTGGCCTGCTGTGGTGGGTGACTGGAGTGGCTCAGGTGGGCTCAGTGCCAGGAGATGCAGCCCAAGGAGGAGCAGAGCCCTGCATGGGGCTTTCCGAGATGGAGCCCAAGAAAGTCTGAGCCTAGTTCCTCACTGTGGAGTAGAAGAAAGAAGAAGCAGAGACTCAACAGCCAAGGAGGCTATCACGGGAGGTCTCCAACGTGTCCCCAAGAAGAGATAAGACGAAGGCTGCTCTGACCCAGTCGTCCGACAGCACAAGTCGCTCTCCTGGTAAGGGAGCAGCAGCAGATGTTGGAGATCTTGTTTTTCCATTCAGGGGAGTCGTGGCCCCAAGGTGGGCTCGTATCGCTGGGTGGCCAGTGCTGCCCGCGGTGCTGCAGCAGCCGGTTTGGAGCACGCACACGCCTCTCATTATGGTCAGGAGGCAGCGCTGCTGGCTTCCAAAAATATTTGGAAGTATTGTGCATGTTTGCCCTGTTTCTGAGCATCCTTCAGTGAGCCTGGGCTGGACAGACCTTTGATCTCACTTGATGCGCCATCCTCATGTCCATGGATGAGCTGGGGGGTTTGCTAAGCCGTAGCTATCGCCGGTGGCTTGGGGACAACCTTCAGCAAGGTGCTGCCAGCCCAGGCTCAGCGCAGGCAGATGCAGAGGAAACCATGTGATTAAAAACAAGTCATGACTGTACTACTGTAAAATAGTTAATAATTGTACCAACCGAACCCTCAATGGTGTGCTGTCTTGGGTTCGCTGGAAAAGTTTTTCCGTGTCAGATTTATCCCTTGGGTGAGAGCAGTTGTCGGCCGTTTTCTTATCTCATGCTGAAGGTTGGATGGGTAAGACCTTCACTGGAGCACCAACCACAGCCCTGGGCACTGCGCCAGCTGCAAAGCACTGCACCAGCCAGACCTGACCGGAGATGCTGAGCACCACACAGGCCAGGGATGGTGGTCCTGTTTCCCTCCACCGAGGGAGCATCTTGCTCAGGATCAAGTCGGCACCGGCAGCACTGTGCACAGGCAGTGCTTCCCAAACGCCACGTTGGAGGCTTCCCAACACAGGCGAGTGTCAGGCACCCAGCCAGGTTGGGAAAGGAGAAGCCCAGAGGGTGCAGGAGCAAACAGGGAACAGGGTGAAATGCAGCACACCTTTCCCTGATGGGATTGGGTGTTACTCTGGGTCTCCCCACAACACAAGAGCTGGCTGCTTAAAAATAGGAAAAATGCTGCGGATGCTGTCAATACAGACTTCGGTGAGGATGGGGAGGGTGTCCAAAGGGAAGTGGTGAACTAGGATGGAGAATGACGGATGATGAGCCCTGCATGATGCACGAGGCTCTGGCTGCAGGCAAGTGAGCTGTTACCAAAGGGGGAACTGTGGGGCTGGAGCAATTTGAGGATTTATGGAGACGCAGGTGACAGGTCTGCTCTGCCCTTGCCCTTGGTGATCCTGATGTAGACTGGAGGCAGGGGATGATGCAAAACCGGAGGGTCCGGGCTCTGGGAGCTGCAGCCTGGGTGGGCACCGAGAGAGGAGAGGGGACAACCTTTGGTGGAAAGCCCAAGGCAGGGAGCGCAAAAAGGGGGTGACAGGAGTTGGGGATGGACCTGCCCAGAACAGAGGTAAACTGAGGCTGATGGATTTGAGAATGGCTGATTATGTCCGGATGCTCCCCACAGCCCTGCTGTGTCTGTCCCGGGGGCAGGGACAAGCTCTAGCTCCATCTCCTCTTCACTGCCTCCACCCACATCCACTGGCTCCAAGCCCAGTGCACCCAACACCCAGAAGGGAGCACCGGAGGGGTGAGGAAGCTCCGCTGGGGTTTCATGTCAACCTTCTGTGTGACAGCAGGAGCCAGCAGGGCTGTGGGCAGCCCCTCAGCTCCCCCAGCTGCTGGGTCCCCTGGTTCCTGGCCCCTTCTCACCTTGCCCATGTCCAAGGCAGTGGCCTCCAGGATGTCCTGCTTCTTCTTGTTCAAGAAACACCCCAGGGCCTCCAGCTGAGCCACACGGTACTCCATGGGCCGCGTCTTCCCCGAAAGCCAGGCTGCCCGCAGGCGGCTCACCAGCCCTGCGTAGGGGTTCTCCCTGCAGGGACAAAGTTGTCAGAGGGACCCCCGTCACTGTCCCAGCCCCTCATGTTCCCAGTGACAAGGGAGAGGAGCTCCATGTCACCCCAGCCCAGCATCAAACCGAAGCCCTGGGCAGGGGGCAGAGCATCCAGACCCCTCCTGTCTCCCTTCGGTCCCAGCCACACGCTCTCACCTTGTGGCCTCGCCGTCCATGCTCCCCTCCCTGCCACCACCGTCATCCTTGGCAGCTTTCCCAGTCCCACTGCCCAGGGGCTGCTGTGCAGGGGGCTCGAGGAGCTGCTGCATGCCGCGCTGTGGGAAGACGCTGCCGGTCTCCACGGTCCCAAAGGAGCAACGTGGGGCAGGTTACGCCAAGGCTGCCCACGGGCTGGGCAGGCTGCCCACAGCCTCACACCGGCTGGGCTGCAAACCGCGGGTTCCCCACCCCAGCTAACAGGGTGCCTTACCCAAAGGAGGTGACCTCGGGGAGCCCAGCCAGCACCCCGGCACCGCAGCGAGGACCCTGCTGAGCTCTGCGGCTGCCTCGGGGTTTTTTTTCAGCCGTTCTGGTCCCTGCTCTCCTGGAGGAGGGAAGCTGCTAGCTTCCTGCCCTGCCCCTTGGCTGCCTGCCTCCCCACACATGACTGCTCCACCCCAGCCCAAACCACTTGGGATGCAAAACGCACCCCAAACTCAGCCCAGGGCACCACACAGCCCTACCACGCCACGCAGCCACCAGGCACAGGGTGGTGGAGGCAGACACGACCGCGACAGGGTGCAATGGTGTTGCTGAGGGTGTCCGTGTGATGGATGGGGACACCGGGGGTCTGGGCACCCACGCCGCTGGGGCTCAGCTACCGGATTCCTGCCCAGCAACGCCCAAGCTGGGACACAGAGGCGCAAGGCAAGGCCAGGCAGGAGAGCTCAAAGCAAAGTCTTTACTACAAGCAGGGACAAGGGAAAAACAACAGCTGGTACTGCAAGGAGGGAGAGGGAGGTTCATCCGGAAGGAGAGGTCCATCTAAGGGGAGATGGGGCTAACTGCTAGCCCTCAGCCTCGCGGGGACCATTTCTCTGCTGGGAAGAGAATTACAGGCTGAGAAAAAGAACTTTTCGCCACTTCAGATGTGTCCTGGCAAACGGTCCAGAGCAGAGGCAGCTGGGCAGGAGTGAGCATGCAGGAGGAGATGTCCATCTCCGCCATCTGAGATGCATCGAGGTGGCAGCGAGGCAAAGGACGTGGCAAGGGAACAGGGGACCAGTGCTGAGGAGGGAGGAGGATACCAGCCTCCCAGGGAGGGTGGTTTTGCTCCCCAGGGGGACCCAGCCAGGAGTCTCCCCCTCAGTCCAGCAGCGCGGGGTAGCCCTCAGAGCAGGGTGCACATGCCCTTGCGCTTGATCTCAAAGGTGGTCGTCAACAGCCCTTGTTTCTGCTGGCTGTAGGGTGGGTAGCGCAGGGCGTTGAGGGCCTCCAGGCCCATGTTGCGGTGCAGGCAGCCACGGTGGTGAGTGAAGGTGTCGAAGGTGAATTTGCCGTGGTATTTCCCCAAGCCACTGTTTCCTGCAACACACAGCACAGGTCCAAACTTGCTACAGGACTCTGCTCCTGCCCATGTCTGGGCATCAACACAAGAAAAACTTTACAGGCTTTTCTCTTGCGAATGCTCCAGCTGCTGGGCAACGCAGACTTGGTGGAGGAGCTCTCACCCTTTCCTGTGCCTTTTCCAGCTCTACAGCTACTCAGTCCAGCAAATAAATCCTTCTGCAGGTCATCACTATTTGGAGATCCAAGTGCATCATTTTTGCTGGACTACTTTTATCTGCATAAGCTTTGCTGGGTCTACAACCTCTACATAGAGGTTGTTCCCTCTACCTCTATGGTGCTTTACCATATCTACCCATGGTTAGGAGCTACCAGCGTGGCCCCTACAAAGGTCAGCTTCTTCTTGGAGCTCTTAAAAATTGGGAGCTGCATCAGCAGCACTGGTTCTCCTGATTCCTGTGGCTGGTTTAAGCTTGAGGTTGCACATCACAGTTAATAGCCCAATGATTTCATACCCGAGCTACTGTGGAAACTTTGGCGAATGCCATCTCACCCTGATGATTTCAGACCCTTCATCTGACCAGGCTGCTATAAAATGGCTTCACCTGGTAATCTGAGGCAGTTTGTCTGAATCATTTTCATAAAGATAAGTTATGATATGGGAGCCACCAAAAATTGTTCCCTGAGCCACAGTCAGGTGAGGAATTAATTGTGCTTTGCTGTCACGGTGTCCCATTAAGTCTGAACCAGCCGTCAGCCCCGACAGAGATGCTGAGCATGGGCAGCAAAAACTGAGATATTTTCCCCAGACAATATTCTGGGAGAGACCAGGAGATTGCGAAAATATTCTGGGGAAACATCAGCAGAAGCTTCCTGTATTCCTCTGCTCTTCCCTGGAAAATGCTACAACCAGGGCCCAGGGCTGAGAAGACCTCACTTTTCACCTGAGAAACCAATTGTTGTTGCCCCTGGTGAGCAGAAGCTCTTCATCTTTGTCGGGGAGGATCTCCAAGTTACCATAAGCAGTTTCTCCAAACATTTATAAGTGTTTTGCTCCTCCTGCTTACTTCTAAAAGGCAGAATGAGCGTACAAGCCTGCCCGAGTGACGTTAAGGGCTCCTACCAGCACCACGCTGTCTGCAGGAGGAACTTCACCTACCCGAGAAGCACGACGAGTCGGGTGTGCTCCCACAGGAGGAGCAGAGTGATGGATAGGCCAAAGGGAGCAGCATTTGAGGAGCTCCCAGGTAAGCCTGAGCAAGGCAGGAACCCAACTCTGGCACAAAATTCACTCATGGTGCTCATGCTGCTCAGAAATAGCAGGGAAATAATCAAATGGTACAGATTTCCCTACCTTTTATATGAAGTATTTGCACGTACTCAGGGACACTATGCTTGGGACAGCAAGAACAGAGAGGGAACCTCACAGCGCTCCACGTGTGCTCAGCAGAAACAGGGCTACAAAGCTCAAGAGTTCAGCCCTGGCGCAGTGAAGCAAAGGGCTTCTGGTGGGGTCCTATCTGGTGTAGAAGGATTTTTAGACCACTGAGCCCTATGGACCTGGGGCCCAGGCCTGGGTGCCACATCTGCCCTGAGACCCTTCCTCACCACAGCCGCCATGGCTCAGACATCACAAGTAGGATCAGGTCTGTCTCATGTTGGCCAGGGGCAGGCAAGTTGGATTTGGACCTACCGATGCCACCGAACGGCAGCGAAGTCAATGTCACGTGCATCAGGGTATCGTTGCCGCAGAAACCACCGCTACTCGTCCGCTCCAGGACCTGGTTCACCACCTGGGAAGGAAGCAGAGAAGGGGATCTGGGTCTTGCACAGGCAGCACTCGTCAAACATCACCCAACTCATCCATCAGCCTGGTGTGCCCAGAGCAGCTGGGCTCAAAAGACTCTTCCAGACCATGCCATGGAGTGTCAGTGTGGTGGGCTGAAAACTGCCCCGTTTCCCTCATTTCCCTTTCTGGTCCACAGACCACACGCACCTTGCTGTCACAGGAGAAGGCATAGATGGCCAACGGCCGCGGCCGCGCATTGATAAAGTCAATGGCTTCATCCATGTTGGCAATGACAACAATGGGTAGGATGGGCCCAAAGATCTCTTCCTGCATGGCAAGATCAGAGGGCAGCACGTCCGCCAGCACCGTGGGAGCTGTGGAGAAGGGTTATGGCAACGCATCACTCAGTGCACGGGCACAGGTGGTCCCACAAGCCCTAGACCCCAATCGCTCACCGATGTAGCGTTCCTTCTCATCTGTCTGTCCTCCAATGGCCACACGCCCACTGCGCAGCAGCGCTCGGACGCGGCGGAACTGCTTGTCCCCCACGATGCGGCCAAAGTCGGGGGATTCCTGAGGGTTGGAGCCAAAAAACTCAGTGATGGCCTCACGCAGGGCAGGCATCAGCTTCTCCTGCATCTCCACGGTGCACAGCACGTAGTCGGGCGCGATGCAGGTCTGCCCTGCGTTGAAGAAGCGGCCCCAGGCCACCCGCCGGGCCACGTTCTGCACATCACAGGTGTCGGACACATAGCAGGGGTTCTTGCCTCCCAGCTCCAGCGTCACAGGCGTCAGGTGCTTGGCAGCGGCTGTCATTATGATCCTCCCCACGGAGGGGCCGCCCGGGG